AGATATGCCTTAGAATCTAAGCCTTCTGATCCATAGTTCCAACACATTACCCAAACTTATGATATTCATAGTAGCAAATCAATGAGAATCACCCACCCCAAGTAGTTATGAACACATTTTCCATGAACTCTAAGGTTTTATTTTATAGATGTTTTTAGGTAAGACATTTCTTCTGGCTCCCCCATGTCTAATCTAGACTTCTAGAAAAGGTAAGAATAATTTCAGTTCACAATAACAGAATAAATGTCTTCTTCAAAAACAACTTATCCAATCTTCTGGTTGTTTTCTCTTTTTAAATAGATATATACTTTTTCATTGATTGCAGAGAGGAAGGAAGAGAGAAAGACAGAAACATCAATGATGAGAGAGAATCGTTAATCAGATGCCTCCTGCATGCCCCACACTGGGGATCGAGCCTGCAACCTGGCATGTTCCCTGACCAGGAATCGAACCGTGACCTGCTGGCTCATAGGTCAATGCTCAACCACTGAACCACACCAGCCGGCACCAGTCTTCTGTTTAATGATCCACAGAGCAAGTGGTGCTTTGCTTTTTAAAGTACAGAACACATCAACTACATGCAATCCTTCGCCCCCCCCTCCCAACACATATACCCATTTGCAAGAGATAAAAATACTAACTTGGCATGAGCTAGTTTAAAGAACACTGGACTGTTAAGAGACCAATCCCAGCTAAGCTTTTGATTAAAAGCAAAAATTATGGAACTAGAGTCTTAAGGACTGAATACTTTCTTTAGGCATCACCTGTAAAACTAGAATAAAAATAATAGGACCTGCCTAAGAAATAGTAGGCACTACATTATGCTAGCTGCTATTATAACAAACAATACTATCTTTTTGTTGTTAATCCTCACCTCAGGATATTTTTTCCATTGACTTTTAGAGAGAGTGGGAGGAGAGGAGAAAGAGACACAGAGAGAGAAAGACAGAGAGAGAGAGAGAGAGAGAGAGAGAGAGAGAGAGAGACTGCTGTGAAAGAGCGCATTGATTGGTTGTCTCCCGCATGTGCCTGGACCAGGGCCAGGGATCAAACCTGCCAACCCATGTATGTGCCCTTGACTGGGACTAAAACCCACCACCCTTCAGTGTGCAGGCCAGCGCTCTAACCACTGAGAAACATCAGCCAGGGTGTAATACTAATACCATCTTTTTTAAAAAAAAAACTCTTTATTGTTAAGATTATTACAGATGTCCCTCTTTTTTCCCCTCAATGCCCCCCTCCACGTGGTTTCCACCTAGCCCCATGCCTTTGCCAACCTACTGCCTGTGTCCATAGGTAATGCATATATGTATATAAGACCTTTGTTTAATTTCTTCCCATCCCCCCTGCCCCCCTTACTTCTGAGAATCATCAGTCTGTTCCATTTCCATGCCTCTGAACCTATTTTATTCACCAGTTTATTCTGTTCATTAGATTTCTTATTAGTTTGATTTTTATATTCAATTGTTGATAGCTATGTATTTGTTGCCATTTTGTTCATATTTTTGAACACTCTCTTTTTCTTCTTCTTTCTCTTCTTAAAGAATACCCTTCAACCTTTCATATAATATTGGTTTGGTGGTGATGAACTCCTTTAGCTTTTTCTTATCTGTGAAGCTCTTTATCTGACCTTCAATTCTAAATTATAGCTTTGCTGGGTAGAGTATTCTTGCTCGTAGGTCCTTGTTATTCATCACTTGGAATATTTCTTGCCACTCCCTTCTGGCCTGCATAGTTTCTATTGAGAAATCACCTGACAGTCATAAGGGCATTCCCTTGTATGTAACTAACTGCTTTTCTCTTGCTGCTTTTAAGATTCTCTCTTTGTCTTTTGCCCTTGGCATTTTAATTATGATGTGGTCCTCTTTGTATTCCTCTTATTTGAGACTCTCTGTGCTTCCTGGACTTGTAAGTC